CCTTACTTCCCCAACCTACAATTATTCACAACTTTAAGTTTGTCTGTTCAATAAAATCCAAATCCAATACATTTTAGTTTGTAATGTGGCAACGTGAAAAAAGGAATAAATGATGGATGCAGTTTGTTGTAGCTATTCTTACAGCTGTTGCGGTGTTGCAAACCTGATACTCATTTATTAGAAACATTTTGTTTTTTCTCTCAACAGGAAAAACCTGATGGAGGCTGAATTGGTGCAAAGCAAAAACGACATGATGTGTTTGAACAACCAGTTATTAGACGCTATCCAACGGAAGCTGGAGCTGTCCCAGGAGCTGGAGGCCTGGCAGGTCAGCTTATTTTCCTAGTTTTGACTCTTTCTAATGTCAGCTCAGCTCCAAAAAAATATGTTTCAATATCTGCTGGACTGTCGAAGCAACAACTTGCATTTGAAAGTCAACAGTTTTGGGGGGATATGTTTAAAATTGAAACCACATTTATTGCTCAGAGGGTTCTTTCACTCGAACAAAATGGCCGACTCCTAAAAAACTAGACTCCTTTCTGTCATCAAGCTTTACACTTGACAAAGTGCAGCCAGGAAAACAGCACTCCACAACATTAGTTGCTCATACCTGACACTGCAAATAGTCTTGAAGATGCTAAGGGTCTAAAAAAGTGTTGAGATCCTTTTAATGACAGATAAGTAAATTAAATGAGAGAATTTCAATTTATCGCATTTGGTGAATTCTGTCCTCTTTCCTTCCTTTGCTTCAGGACGACATCCAGATCGTCATCAACCAGCAGCTGAAGTCGCAGCAGCAGACGGAGCAGCCGCAGAAGAAGCCCACCTCCAACGGCCTGTCGTTCTTTCGACGACCCAGCAGGACGGCCTCCACCTGGACGCGCCAGCTCTCCCCTTCCTCCTCGTGGAGCTCAGACAGTAGTACGGACAAAGTGCAGGCCCCCTGGAGAGAATGGCTAAGACTGGGGAAAGGGGCACAATACGGAAAATAACGTCCTCCACAGCCCCACGGACTGCTGGTTGAGGGAACATGAAGCAACGAGATCAGAGAATGTTACAACGAAGCCATGAAGTCACCTCTGAGGGATGAAGGACACGAACAAAGACTTGATCGATGGACATTTGTAGCACAATACATTTCAGTGAAGGCTCAGCCTTCTTCAGATCTAAGCTGTGACAGCGTGGAAACACCTGTAACTGGCTAGCAAATTGTGAACATGATTTCTTATTTTGTTTATTATATAAAACTGTATAATGATTACACAACGCTTGTAATTCAGTGGAAAGTTTTTGTTTAGGTTTATTTAACTTGACGATCAAACACTTAATTTTCAGCTACACTGAATTTATTTCCACTAAGTTGGATGTAAAAGTTTATGTTCTTTGAAGGTTGTGTTAAAAAGTTACTTTCTTCTGAGATGTACAGTAATGTATTTTTTATATATATAATTTTCACTTTGACTTTTATGATTTTTTTTATGTTTATTTGATATGTGTTATGCTGCAGACGTGTCTGACGGTTCAGTGTTGAAGTCACTCAGTCATAAACTGTTGTTTTCCTAAACTTTCTTTGTTTTTGGCACATTTTATATTTCAGAGTTTCATAGCATATTAAGAAAAAGTCATAATTTTTTAAATTCTAACATTTGCAAAAAGGACAATTGGTCAGCTGACCTTCCAGTCAAACAAAATAGATCAAAGGTGACATTATTCTGGTTGGGAATTGTTCTGGTTCTACTTTAATTTAGTTTTGCAAAAAATAGTTCTGGGAAAAATATTAAAACCTCTCATTACATGCACAATGTGCATACTAAATTTGAGCTTTGAATGATTTCATTCAATCCTTCATTTTTAGCATACAGCATAAATGTTTTTTTTTTTTTAAAAAAGAGCTTGATTCACAAAATTGTGACTTTCCAGTTGTCCACAAATTGTGCACACAGGGTTCCTGCCTCCAGAGAGAAACGTACAAGTGTAAAAATGTCCACTTACAGAATTGAAGAAGTTGATTTAAACTGGCTGGTTTCCTCTCATCTCAGCAATGTTTGTTTTCATTAGCTTTGGAGCTGGTTCTTTGTAGATTCATATTGAGGTTAAACTGGCTTCACAGTGAATTGTACGACCGATGTTCAAGCAGCGACAGCTTTGTGTAAGGCTGGAGTCTTGGCGTTTGCAGAGCTTCTGCTGAACCACCTTCCTTTCATCTGAGGGGAACAGTTTGGTTGACGTTTTTTTGTTTAAACGGAGCAAGATCCCAAACGTACATTAAAACTGGTTTTGGAATGGATAAAGCAGGCAATGTTTTGGATGGGAGTGAATTGATAAAAAACTGACAGCAATATTCATTCAGAAGAAGAGATGACACACTCTCTTTTATTGAAGTGTACTGTACACATGACATAATGGAAACCACATGATCTTTGACTTGCACCACCTATCTTGTTCAGGATTATATAATCAGATAAAGACAATCAGTTCCCTCCTGAACTACAAATCGGTTGACATCAGCTGATCCATTTCTATGTTTCTGCTGATATGGTAACTAGCCTTAGCAAACACAATGAATGTCTGTCTTGGATTTCTAGTGTTTTATTAGTCTCTCTAAGGTAGAGTGATAAGTTCAGTGTTGCTGTCGTCATCCGGTCTGTAAATGTCCCAACTAAAACAGAGACCAAAGGTGGACAAATGGCACCCCTGCTAAACTGTTAATGCTCTAAGACTTTGATCCAGGTACTAAAAGGATTGAATAAAGCTCTTCCATTAAATCTATAATAATCACAAATCCCTGGTGAATTAAATGTTGCTTAGCAAATGATAAAGAACTATTTTAAAATGAAAATGCTGCATCGTCACTGCTCTGAGCATCAGTGACGATGCTTAGAGCAGACACCTGGTGTCACAGATTGCTACACAATTGAAGTATTTCTACATTTTGGTAACATAATAAATGTATTTATTTGATTGATACTTCCAACTGGTAAAAACTCTCAAGAACAAAATATCTTTTTCATAATTTTCCTTTGTAATTTGATGCGTATGCTTGAATATAGTGCTCTGATGAAGCACACGACTTTCTTAAATTATATTATAAAACCCACCTTTAGCACACATTCATAAGTTTATCCCTGAAGAGAGTCCCTTGGTTTTTACAGACTCTGTATCAGATGAAGTATTACTTTGAATGCAAGCAGATTAGTTTAACTGAACTAATGATGCCACAAGAGAGTATTAATACCAGGTGGAAATGTTTTCAGGATATTGCAATATCCTGAAAACAGGATATTAGAATGACTAATGATCCACTACTTTGTTCAAAGAACAAGTAGGTTACTTGCCATGAAAAGCCAATATGAACAAAGCTCTAAAACAATAACCCATTTGAGAGATACGCTGTGTTGCCTCCCTCTACTGATGGTCTAAACTCACTGCAGGTTTTAAATAAGTCCAATTGGACACCATGGTTTTCCGAGAACAGACACATCTACCGAACCTACCAAAATCAATGCGTTTACATCCCCACTGGCATTTACTGTGTTTTACTCATAAATAACTCATAATTGCACTGCACTATTGTTTTGTAAATAGTCTGTTATTTTTTATGACAATGCACATGCACATTATGTATGCAAATCATCGCACTGTGCGCATAATATTTCTATATGTAATAATTGCATTGTATTTTGTCATAATCTTGAGCAGCATATTGCTATTTCTGTTCTTGTTTTGTATATTTTCTCAACACTTTTTGTAACGTTGGCATTGCTGTTACACCTGAAATTTCCCTCTGTGGGATTTCATTTTCAAATTGTGTCACGTTACAACAAGAAACTTCGATGTTTTATTTATTTATTCGCGTGAGAGACCAGCACAAAGTAGTGTAAGGTTGTAAAATGAGAAAACAATAAAACAAAATGTGACCTGCATTTGTGATCAACCTTTGTGGAACGACCATTTGCAGCTGTTGACATTCTGCAAAACTTTTAGGCTATATTTTTGGCAAAAACAAGTTTGCTCTGAGTTTTGGCAAACTTATTTTTGACCCATTTTGTTTTGCAAAAGACTTCCCCTAAGGCAGTGCTTCTCAATTCCAGTCCTCAGGCCCCCCCCCCCCAAATCCTGCTCTGCATGTTTTAGATGTGCCTCTATTTCAGAACAGCTGATCCAAATGATTGCATTACCTGTTCTGCAGGCATCAATAAGCCTGTTAATTAGTCATAAATTCAATCCAGGTGTGTGGCAGCAGGGAAACACCTAAAACATGCAGGGCAAAGGGGGCGTGAGATCCGTGTAATACTTGCGGCCCTGCTTTTTAAGTATCTAGCGAGGAATTGCGCCATGCCTAACCGGAAGTGCCTGAAGCATGGGACTTTGATTGATTCTCAGATTGAAATACAACGAAATTAGATCAAATTTGTCCATTATTACTATTGTAATAATTATAGTAATGTTGTTAAGTGGTGGCCACGGTTTTTATTTTGTCCCACGCCACCAAATGAGCTCTGTGAATTACACTGCTGCACTACTGCGTGCTCTGTCAACCTGCCGCCTTAACGTTGTCTCACATGGATGACGTTTCTGTACACTAAGGAAATGCCCCCCTGGCTTCGTTGTAGCATTTTTTTCCCCTAACCAAACAATCCAACGTCTGCTTACCAAACAGGTACGGCAGCTCTCTGTATTGTTTATAGACATTACGTGGACTGAAAACACGCGACGTCATTGCGTTGAGAGTTTAAACAAGTGCTGAAGTAGATCCGTGGAGACGGCATGACAGTTTAGCTTGTTGCTCCACGTAAGAGCTAACTAGCCACCTGCTAACCAGTTAGCTAAACAGTGTCAACCGTCGAAACCTGCCTCTGCTTTCAAAGCTGCTTGGTGGTTGTTATTCCGTCTCTAGAGTAACATGGAATAAACCTAAAGGAGAAAATAAACGCGGGAGTTTTTGTTTAAAGTGACTAATGTCGTGAGGCGACGGTTAATCAGTTGACAGGTGAGCAGCATGTCGGATAGCAGCAGTGAATGTTCAGGTCCTTCCGTTACATCTGGTAGATTCTCTTAAGTTTCACGTCGAAAACCTTCGCATGTATTCAATAACGGGTTCATCTCAGCGGTGTTTTGTGACGGTGTTCGCTTTTGTCAGCTTCCAACAAATGCTTCATTAGCTCATGTTGGTAAACTTGGTGCTAACGGCAGCATTTTTACAGTGATAGCTCAGAACATGACGTATGAAGCAAGTCACCAACTCAAATTGAGTCACGATCATTTTTTAGGTAAGGGAGGCCCAAACTTTCTGAGCATAATATAAAAACACATTTGTCCAGGTTGTCACCCACTTGCAAGATATTCATAATCTTGAAAATGTGTTCAATTGCAACCACAAGACTGTTGTTTTGTTTTACTTTATGTGCTCAACCAACAGAAGATGGCGTGTCATTGTGAAGTGGAAGGAAAAATATGCACGGTTCTACAAAAATAATAGTAATGTGGCATTTTACACGCTAATCTAATATGTAGTGTCTCAATGCAGACACAAATAACTTTGGTCAAAATGCTGAAATTAACAGTGATGGAGTCAGAGATGAGAGAGAGGAAAGAAAAGAATGTTGCAACTGAGGGTCACGTCCCAGGATTTCAATACTACAACCTTGATACGACCAAAATGGAGCTTCTTGGCCTCCATGCAAAACATGTTAATTGGAGGCTGTGATAACATTAACATGGCATCTGGACCACAGGCATTACTTATGTGCTAAGTTTTTTCAGGGGTGTGAAACTCATTTTGGGCCAAATCAAGATTATGAATTCTCTTAAAGGGCCGGTTGTGCTAGCATGTATTGATAAAAGTTGTTCACAAACTTTAAAATATTACTGAATTCTAAAATATTATTGAACAGCTATTCAGTCCCCCCAGAATTTCTGATATTTTTGCAATAAAAATCAAAAGTGTTTATGGTGCTAGTTTGGAAACATTTGCAAAAGTTTTGCTTATTTATGACAGTAAATGTGATTTTTATTACTCGCTGAATAGATCATGGACTACAATCTGACATCAATTAAGGCTGAGGCAGCTATTTTGATACAAGAAAGTTTTTGACAATTTTTGAGAAAAATCTGCAATAAACTCCCAATTACTAGCTCAAAGAATTGGAGGGATTAGTTGATTTTTTTTCATAAATTTCCACAAAAATTCTCAAGAACTGGAGGGACCGATTTATATATTTTGACAGTAAACAGATAAAAACGACATTGATTTGATTGATAACATATTTAAGCTCACTTGGTATTTAGTCTAGAATCTAGAGGGCCGCATAAAAAGCTATGGCGGGCCGGATTTGGCCCACGGGCCTTGAGTTTGACGTGTGATTTATTTGATCAACATTTGCTCTTTCTGCATTCCTCCTAAAGGCTGGGATCTTAAATGGAGTAAGTGTTGAGCCTCAGTGAGATGACTGACCAGGGCAGCAACAATCACAACATTTCCTGCAACCCCTTTGCTGCCCTCTTCTCCTCACTGGCTGATGCCAGGCAGTTTGCATCAAGCCAAAACCCTCAACAGCCGGCATCTAAACCACCATGTGAGTAGAGTTAAAAGTCAGTCCATTACAAAATCCTCACCCTGAATGTATAGTTCAGAACTGTTGCGATGTGCCTTTCTGATGTGTTATTTCTGTGGAGAAGTTGGATAAAGGTAATAAACATGTTTTTATGTATTTATGTTGAAGGATTAAAAGCATTATTTCAAACTTGTTGTTTCAGTGACACAGTTTTAGCCGATCCTCTATGGAACTTCAGTGCATAGAGGTTTTGTTCAGTATTCCTCTACTTTTAAGAGATGTTAGTTGTTTTGACCTTGCTGGGTTCCTCAGTTAATCTCTGCTGTTTCTTCATAAATAAAAAAGTCACAGCAGGTTTTAGCAAAACTTCTTCTATGTTGTTTATGGTGGTTGTTCAGTGGTAATAACAATTCAGATTAATCAAATAAAGTCTCAGATTTTAAAATGTAATTGTATTGGCTGGTAAAAGTTTAATATATTCAACTTTTATCATTTTAATTGTAGAATTACAGTTACTGTAGAACTACATGACTGGAGGAATATTTGGGTTTTATTACATTTTTAAAACTATTTTTTTATTTAATGACCTGCTTTCTTTACATACACACTTACAATTTGCATAAATGGATTTGAAGCATTTAATGATCATTTTGAGCTGTTTTTCTCCCAGTGTGAAAGTATTGTAAAAGATGCAATTTCAGTGAATTTTATAAACAGGAGTTGTACGCACAAGTTTCAGTCTATTGTGCATTTTCTCTTATCTATGTAGGAACAGGCTAAAATATATACACGTTTACCAATATTTGCTTAAATTGTCCTTCACCAAGTCTCAGATAAACTAATTTTTTCAGACATCAATGTGGATCTGGCTAGGTACTCACTACTTTTGTTGGTGAGTATCTAGTCAGATACTCACTGGGTAGATCCCAGTGAGTATCGAGCGGTTGGTTTTCCACTGCAAACTCAATGGGTTTGAGCTTGAGGCCATTCAGCTCTATGTTACTCTTCTTTATCCATTTCCAAACAACATTTAATTTCTGTTTGGTTAATAGTGTCATCATATTGACTGATATTAGTGTTTGAAGATCATTTAAATATGTGGAAGAAACAAAATATCAGGGCGATGGCAAAGAGGCTTTCCAACCTCAAAGAATTGAAGATACCAGCAGAAACATAAAAAAAGTTGGTCAATAAATCTTTTTTCTATTGTGAATGGTATAGTTAATTTTTCACATGCCATTTCCTATATGAATGTAAGTTTAAGTGTAAACTTATTTATTTAAAATGTTGCAGATTTTACACAGTTTTATTAGCTTTGGGGAGATATTGTGTTGTTTTCTATCACAAACAAACTTCTTGGTTGAGTGAAAGTATCTTTTACTGTAATTCTTTCTGAGGTGTGAATAATTTTGCCACTCCACATCATTACAAAAATTGTTTTGGCATTAGTTTAGAGGATTTGACATGTTTTTTTTATCGGCACAACCCACATAATCAACTCTGCAGCTCAATCCCACAAACGTATTTTCCATAAACAGGTTTTTGAAAGGTATCAAATTTATTGCCATTGTCACAACAAATAATAACCAGCCAAACAGAAATGTGTGACTTTTTGCAGAGTTTATGTGATGCTCTAAAAGTATAAAGTCACATATCATAAACACTTGAAGATTAAGAAGTAAATTAGTAATAATTTAAGCTTCCAAAGTCAATACAATCTTTTCATATGACTTTGCTCTGTCTGCTGTCGCAGCGGAGGAGTCGGGAGGAAGCTACTCAGAGTCGGAGGCCTCCGTCACTGACAGCGTCGACGACAACGACTCCATAGCAGAAATCAGTCGCTCCTTCCGGTCCCGGCAGGAGCTTTGTGAACAGCTCAATGTCAACCACATGATCCAGAGAATATTTCTAATCACACTTGATAACAGTGAGTACAAGCTGATTATTTTGAGCTAAAATTTGCTGAGTTAAAACACTTGCAGCCTGGAGTTCTGATATTGTGATGAATGTGTCATGTTTGCAGAAGGTCAATGGTGACTGGCAGTTTTTAAAATGCATTTGGCTTTACGGTGACACTAGTTGGTAAAATCTTCTAGTATTTGGAAGATATGTTTTATCCAAAAACCAAGGACTACTTTGTAACTAGTGTGTATTGTTTGGTATTAACTCTAGCATTATCTCAGGGATCTCCTCTGTTCTGAGATCACAGTTGCTGAGGTATTCTTCTCAGACGATTTTCCAACTGAGACGAGACATGTCTGTCAAATGCAGTTAAAAAGTAAATCAATTGAATATTACCAGGAAGAGATGTTTTCCCTGGAGGTATTTCTTTCACATGAAAAGCACAGTTGAAAGCTAGAGGCTTTGCTGATGACAAGACTGATCATAAATAGTTGCGGGGTCTGTTTTGCTCTGGGGACGTTCTCATTATCTTTTAAAAGCCAAACTTGTCAGGCAGGAATGAGTCACTGCACTTACAGATGACACAGAGACATCCACTGCATGGCCTTGCTGTGAGCTGGTTGGGCCTCTCATCACACAGAATGTTCAAAAATGAGTCATGATGTTCAGAAAATGTATTATAGGACCTCCAACCCTCCCCCCGAATGTCGCCTGCACTCCACACAAATTTCCTGCACGAGTTAGACTTCACCTCTGTGTTGTACATAGATGTTGTGCTTTTGGTTTCTTTGTGTTTTATATCAGGAGTCCCTTTTACCACAACCCATAGATGCTGGACCAGAGGGAGATATAACAACCAAAGCATGGATGGATCCATGATTTGTTACTAGACAAAATTGACTTTTTTGAGCTTTATATCATGTTAGGATGTCATTCCCTCATCAAAAACATACCTGAAGTGTTGCTTTGAGTCCTTGAATCTTCTACAACAACCATTCAGGGAAGCCTAATTAGATGCGTTCACAACAAACGCGTTTTGAGCGTCAGGCGCATTTGGTTTACATTCAAAGTCTTATGTGGAGGCGCGTCAAGGGCCCGTCGTGGCACGTTTTTGCGCTTATAGCATGGCATGATTTGAAGCATTTGACACATCAAACGTGTCCGACAAATAGGCCAGCGATGGAAAACAACAAGCAGAGTTGTGGAGGAGCCCTTGACGCTCCCCCACATAGACTTTGAATGTAACCAGACGCACCAAATGCTAGGTGTAGAGCAAAAATCTGAAGCATCTGCGTTGAGCGCATGTAACGTGTTTGGTGTGAGTGCACCATAAGTGGTTGCTCACACGATGTGTTGCCTATTTATCAACCTTGGAGTCTCCAGCTGAATTCCCTCCCATATAGAGATTCCCTCTTCTGCAACTCCTGCATTCAGCTCCTTCAGACTAGCAGCAGTTACCAAACAACTTGTAGAAGTGGTAGTTTGCCGAGCTTATTATACAAACTACTTCTCACACTCCTAAAAGCGGTTGTAAGCGGCATAATGAAGGAGCAATGGTGTGATTATGTGATCAAGGGGAGTGTCGGAAAGGGTTGGAGCTTCTTAAAGAGGGAGAGGTCAATTTCAAGGGGTCAGATACAACTATGTTGCAAAGTAAAATAAAAGTTTTATGCAGAATTTTCATAACAGCTGAAGGCAACACAATTAATTGACTGTGTTATAGAATCGAACTATGTGCCTGGAAAATACATAATATCACCCCATTCTGACCCTATTGATTGATTATTTGAGTCTTATTGAACCAGGCAATGTCTTTCCAATCTGATAATGTTTTGTTAGCGTGTGTGAATTATAGCCTCATTTTCTGTTCTTGGCAGACAGGAGTAGCATTGGGTGTAGGCTTCTGCTGCTGCCGGAGCAGCTTCTCCTCCAGGTTCATATCTTGTAAATGGTCGCTCTTTGAGCTAGTGAAACCTTTCTATCACCTCAAACCAGTTTGTCGTTCTGTGACACCTGATATCAACAAGGATTTTCTTTGTCCACAAAAATGCAGACTTTTTTTTATCATTCTTTGTAAGCCAGAGAGATGTTCAAGGCTCCTTTGAATCCCACATCTTGATGCCTGAATGACTTGATCTGCTGCCATAATATCTTAATAAAAAGGCTGGTCAGTGTAGCTTATAATTGGGAGGGAGGCAAATTTGATTCACTTCAGGAGTAAAGTTGTATTTGTCTTGTTTTATTCTTTACTTTATGTCAAGTTTAAAATATATCAAATATTTTCATTTTGGGATTTCTTTTTTCCTAATCAGGCGACCCCAGTCTGAAAGGAGGCAATGGGATCCCTCCTCGATGTGTTTACCTGGAAGATATGGCTGCAGAGCTGGACGGCCAAGATTGGCTGGACAGGGACAACGTAGAGCAGGTTAAAAACCATGTTAAAAATTATAGATAGCACAATTTGTAAAGACCTGTTTTCATTCCAGCATGACTGCAGCTGTTTCAATTGTAATGTCTGGTTTATTCCTGGCTTTTCTTTTTAATGATCATTTCATATACAGTGTGTGCTTTCATTTGTCACCTGTTTGCTGCTGTATACCAGGAACTATCTTACTGAGGGACAAAAAACTATATGCTAGTCTAGTCATTATTATATATCCTTTGGGTAGTTTTCTTGAATTATTGACAAAAGCCACAGAAAATATCATATGATCTAATTAGAGCCTGCTGAGTTATCGGCACCGATTTCCTTAATTTTGGGAGATTGTGATCAGTCGTCTTACATGTGGAGCCAATTTTATCCACCGATTTACCTCTGCAAAGGTTCAAAAATCAGAGAGAGTCTTGACTGACAGGCCGGTCCACCAGGTCATGTCTGCATGTTTGTAGTCAATAATAGTCACCCCACTGTTGCTCTTTAGCAACATTTCAGGCATAAAATTTAGTGTTGGAAAGACTTTAAGTTGTCAGATCAGCATTTTTAAAGATCTGTAATTGATGACTGCAATTTGTGCACCCTTAAATCATATATTATTTTGTAAAAATGCTTCAGCAACACTCTGTTTCCATTGATTTTGATTCAGTTTAGAGAGCATTTCATTTTGTAACAATGTATTTCGCCTTAGAAACATGAATGAAATGAGCTCAGAGGTGTTTTTACTTCCCCTTTAGGCTCTGTTCAACCGCCTGCTGCTCCAGGAGCCAGGAAACCATCTCATATACATGACCTCCTGCAATACAGTGAACCTGTCGGCTGACCGGGATGCTGGAGAGAAATGTGCCATCCCTTACCTCTTTGCTTCTTACCTGAGGGCAAAAGAGGAGGTGCTCTTTTTTTCCTTTAAAGAATCCTCAAACTCTTTACAGCAACTGGAGCATAAGCATCACCCATCTTCCATCTTCCAAAGTGATTTGACAAATTCCTTTTTGTCTTTGCACCAGTTGACAAAAGTCCCAGAAAAATTACATTCATTTGCCATACACTGCAAGAACCTGACGGTGTCCAACGCGCGCACCGCTCTGCTCACCCCAGAGATTTACGTCAACCAGAACATCTACGAGCAGCTTCTTGACCTGTGGCTTGAAAGTTTCAGAACAGCACGTAGGTCCATCTTTGGAGTTAAAGAGTTCTGACTATATCGGTTTTACTTTCATCTTCGTCTGCGCTCAGTAAAATATTCTTTCCACCACTCCTGGTGTTTCAGAGCCTGGGGAGGGGATTAAGTTTGTGGAGGAGGTCATTGCTGGCATACTGTCCGACCAAGAGGTGCGTACCTTTGAGGAGGTGATCGTTCCGGTCTTTGATATCTTCCAGGGGCGCATCAAAGACTTAGACCTTTGCCAGCCTCTGCTCTACAACTACCTGGATGTTCTCCTCTATTTTTGTCACAATAACGATATCGCCAAGGTCAGAAGACAAAACCAGACGTGTAATCTGAGCCACACTTTCACCAGGCCGTCCTTTAGTATCATCCCATATGTTCCTGTTTGGTGTTTGCAGGTGATGATGGAGCACATTCAGCCCAAAGACCCAGCTAATGGTCTGCAGTACCAGAACAACCTGCTGGGGATGATTTTGAACACATCCTGCTTGCTGAAAACCCCGGGTGTTGTAGAGGGGCATGGCTACTTTCTGAACCCTTCTCGCTCCAGTGCCCAACAAACAAAGAGCCAAGAAGCCAACATTCACCAGGTACATGGCCATAATCAGTTTGTTTTGTTAGAATTTTTATGAGAAGGAAACTAAGCTTTGTCTTCCCGTTGTTGCAGTTTATGGGTCAACTTCATGAAAAACTGTACCAGATCTTGAAGAGTTTGCTGCAGCGGTCCAGTGAGACACGCCACTTGCTGCTGACCTGGCTGGGCGGCTGTCTGCAGGCGAACGCAGGTCGTGCTAAGATATGGGCCAACCAGGTGCCCGAGCTCTTCTTCCAAATGTTCGCCTCCGATGCATTTTTCCTCAACCTGGGGGCCGCTCTGCTGAAGCTGTGCCAGCCTTTCTGCAAGCCCCATTCACCCAAGCTGCTAGACTTTGACCCAACATACTGCGCTCTCAAAGACATGAGCGAAGAAGACCGGCGTAATCGCAGCATCCACGCAAGAGGTCATTATACGAGATGTCAAGGTTTTCAAACTCTGCCTCTGGAGCTTTTTCACATTCATGACCCATCACAACAAACTTTAATGGATTTAATTGGAATGTTATGTGACAGACCTAGACAAACAAGCACATAATTGTGCCATAGAATGAAAAAGATGCAACTCATATTTACACCAAAGCACACAGCAGGCAAATGTGACCCAAATCCACTTTTTTTGCTCATATGTCACCTATAGCTGACATTTCAGGGCAGTCCTAACAGCCCAGTTCTGATCCTTTCATCTCACAACATCTGTGCCACTTTCATATGTGATACTAATTTGAATACTTAATTGATCGTTTTCAAAGCATATGCAGCGTAAACGGACATGTCACATTTTATCTGACCTAATTCTGCACCAGAAGGAGCCAGACTTTCATGGTGAACTTACAGAAAAAGTTTGTGTCGGTGAAGCATTTCACAATCCCACAACTTCTGGCCCAGGTCACTTTGGGTCGTAAACCATTCACACACACAAGTGTGTGTTCAAATGTAGCCAATTAAAAGACAATGTATTGTTGGAAGTGAGCATCAAACCCTGCTGCGTGAAAGCACCCAAAGACACTCGCATTCACACAGTTGGGTCATTTGGCAAACTGGGGTAAAAATATTTTGAAAGTCACATAACTATTTTTGCTGGTCCATTTATTGCATATAATCTTCTCTCATAAAATGCATAAAGGTTTGTGGTTGTAAAGTTACAAAATATGAAAAAGTTTTAGGGGTTTGAATATTTTGTAAAACACTATATGAATTTGTTTTGGTGCAGCGGATGCCTGTAGTTTTTGAAGGAACAATTGTTAGCATTGATACTAATTACAAAGTAAATATTCCTTTACCAGGTCTTGAGAAGGAGACCTGCTTGATCCCTTTGCCCCCTCAGCAGCAGGTGGAGTCTGCACTAAACTACACCCTGCTGACTGAAAACCTCGTCTTCACACAGCTCACCCTGCATCTTGGCTTTCACCGGTACGAATCACTTCACAGTATCTTACGACAGCAATTTCCCAATTTTTGAGAAAACGCTTTAATGTTCTCTCTCTTTCTGTATTAAATCCTGCATTTGTGTGGCATGTGTGTGTCTGCCCAGACTCCATGAGCAGATGGTTAAGATGAACCAGTCACTCCATCGGCTCCAGGTGACCTGGCAGGACGCCCAGCGCATGGAGAGCCCGCTGTCCGATCAGCTCCTGGAGCAGTTTGAGCGTCTGATGATCGTGTATCTGTCAACCAAAGCTGCCACGACGCAGCCCATCATGCTGCAATATTGCCTTAACCTGCAAGCTTCCACTGCTTCTCTGCTTGTTCAGCTGAGCATGGGAAACCAGGGGCCCGAACATGTAGCACTCAGCTTTCCCCTGGCATCCCTGAACAACACCAGGCTCTGCTACATACCGGGTATGTCAGAGACAGAGGCTCGGCTGAGGAATAATATCAGAAAGGCCAGCTCTGTGAGAAATTTTAAGATGGCTGCACCTGTTTGTGTAATGTGGCTGTGGTTAGATACTCATAACTCGCTCATTGAGCAAAGCTGAAAGTCTCTGAACACAACAGCCGTGAGTAAACCTGGACTATTTTTGTCAGAGTTTTTTGCAGAAAACATTGGAGACTTCTTCATCTTCCTGCACCGCTTTGCAGACGAGATCTTGGAGACCTCCGCGGAAAGTCTGGAGCAGATCCTTAACTTCATAACTGTCTTCATGGGAAACGTGGAGAAGTACGTGACGATTATTTTATTGATCGATTATCCTGACAATTAATTGGTGAATCAGATTTGAAGAAATTGCTATGTTCTGCAGATTTTTCATGTAACCACTTAAACTTATTTTACATAAAAATACAAATAACTAAAAACAGTAATTCCTTTTCCAACAAGGAAACCGAAAATTTCTTGCCTAAAATGCAACAAGATTCCTATAGTGAGCACTTGATCATCTGTAGCAAAAGATGCGTCTGCAGCTAAAAAGATCCTTCTAACATTAACATGTGAAAAGCTCAGGCCTTTCTGCTTGATTTGGCATCAATACAATGTAGAGCTGATTTGTTGATTGTTTTATAGGTTAACTGATTAATAATTGGATGCAAAAGGTCCCTAATATTTAGAGGTTTTTTCAGAATCTGGTTTTTGTGAAGCTAAAACCTCCACTGGAGCAGTTCTGAGTTGAACAGGTTTAAAGAAAAATATATATACTGTGTCTTAAATGCTATATATTATATATCTATATATCTATATATATATATATATATATATATATATATATATATATATATATATATATATATATATATATATATATATATATATATATATATATATATATATATATATATATAGATATATATATATCGTTTCAGCCTTATATTTAGCTTTCAACTTGTTTCTGTGATCCCCATGTTTGAAATGTGAACCAGGATGAAGAATCCCCATTTAAGAGCAAAGCTTGCAGAAGTGTTGGAAGCCGTGATGCCTCACATGGAGCCGCTGGCTCCTGGTGCTGCTCAGCCCATCGTTTTCCAGAGGGAGAGAGTTTTCTGCTCCTACGCCCATGCACCTCAGCTGGCTGAGGCCCTCATCACTGTGTTTGTTGACATTGAATTTACAGGTAAGTCAAAGTTCATTTCCTAGGGTTAAATTCGTCCACGTCTTTTATCTAGCGGAACCATCTTTCGACATTGTATTTCCGCCATTACTACTGATTTTAAACAATTATTTAAGACTACAGTTAAATTAGCCTCATCTAAAAAGACAGGTCAGAGCTGAAAACAAGATTTGGATCAAAGTTGGATGTTTCACATAATCTGTGAGTTTGGATTAATTGTGAGTTTGGATTGCCTGGGAGTTCCACTGAAAATACGAGAACCTGCTTGGTGTAAAACTAGTAGAGTTTAGCTCGTTAACTTTTCTTTTTCATTTTTACCCAGGTGACCCTCATCAGTTTGAACAGAAATTCAACTACAGGAGACCGATGTATCCGATTCTGAAGTACATGTGGAGCAAAGACAGCTATAGAGAGAGCATCAAGGTGAATAAACAAATGATGTCTGAACCTTACCTACCTTGCATTTTTATGTAAAAGGATTGGTAAGACTTAATAACTAGACACTTGGATGCTTTTCTGACTTTGAAGTGTTCTTGTATGATTTCCAGTTTGGTTGTTTTGCTGTCCTGGTATAGCATCATTAAGCCCCATAATCGATGTTACACAGAATATTACTTTGTGATTCAACTCAGTTTCGCTCAGTTTAGTTCATGCATTGTTTAAGAGAGCTCAATTTTGTTCAAAGCTCTTCAGCTATGTTTAATTTGATTCTGTTTAATTCAGCTCAGTTAAATTCCTCTGAACATTTGTTTGCTTCACAGCAGTAATGAAAAAATAAGAAATTGCTAGCTGGTCCAAACATAGCAAGCTAAATTCGGTCTCATTCACTTCAGTAATTAAAGACAGCAGGAGAGGCAAACGTCATGGTTGGGACAACAGCATGAAAATAAGCTTTAACTGTCTTGCTGACGTTCATAACAGACATTGGTGTAAAGCTTTCAAAGATAATGCAGAGTTGATGATCTGGCCGGCTTTTAATTTGAAAATGTAGATGTTTGGTCACAGAGCAGATGAACGCTGATAATCTATTTTATAATTTTAAGGATAATTCCAGAGGAATAAAAACCTTAACCAAGAATAAACAAAGGGGAGCAGAAACATCTTCTTAAATTGTTCAGTGTTCTAAACACACTAAAAAGATGTTGGTTAAATGGGAGCATGAATTAAAATGTTTCTCATTTTAAAAAGCATAAGATTATCTGCCTTTTTTATGCTTGTTTCAGCATTTGGCAAACTATGCATCCGAGAACCTGGAGGCCATGAACCCCCCTCTGTTCCTCAGGTTCCTCAACCTGCTCATGAATGATGCTATCTTCTTATTGGATGAGGCTATTCAGGTGGGGCTGATGGAAATTAATTCTCAATGTACAACACATGAGAGCACATTTACTCCTTGTGTTAAATATGTACTCAGAACCTCAATCATAATGACTAAACTCAGTTTTCATTTTGTTTTTCTGTAGTACTTGAGTAAAATTAAGATTCTGCAGCTTGAGCGTGACAGAGGAGAGTGGGAAAGCCTGACCCCTGACACCCGAAGAGAAAAAGAGTCAAGCCTGCAGATGTTTGGACAACTGGGACGCTTCCACAACATCATGTCCAATGAGACTATCGGCACACTGGCCTTCCTTACCTCAGGTCAGGCAGGACAAAAAAAACACATTTAACCCTCATTCAATGTAATCTCCCCAAATATTCAAATTATAAAATTTTACCTGAAAATGTTAAGGGACATCCACCAAACAACTACAGAGACATTTTATAATTCAATGACCCTTGAATAGTGTAGGTACATTTAGTTTATTAGTTTACGTAAACTGGAATAATGTTCAATAAACTTTAATAAAAGATACTTTGCACCAGATTTAGCTTATGTTAGTTTCCATCTATAGTCTCAGAGCAAGAGAAAATATTGTTTTAGAATGACTTTAAGTATTGCACCTTGTATCAAATATGTTTTTTAAAGAATAATGTGTAAAGAAAGACACATAAAAGAAAGTTAAGTTAAATTTATACTAAACTACCTCCTTTTTAAATAAATAGTGATCTAAATATATATCATAGTATTTTAAATTTTTACAATAAATAAATAAGCCAAACTAAATTAAACATTTACCTTAATTGTCCTTCAAAAAGAAAGTTTTGACTTTTTTTTTTAAAAATAAAATGTTACTGCCATTGGCAGTATTCTGGGTCATTGACACTTTTTCTTTTTTTGAGTTGGAAAAGAATAAATTTCTCTATATTTAAGTTCAAACAAATTTCAGGTCACTGGCAGCCCTAAACCCTAATTGGACAGAATCTTGTCCCCGGATAAAATACCAACACCAACTGGGAAGAGAGTTTTTGTATTGGGGACGTCCCATAGTCACAGGAATCTGTAGCAGCCATTACAGCCGTACTCCTGGCTACAGCCATTACGGACTGTGAACATCAATGTCAAGGGGGGAAACCATTTATATTTAGATTAGTTAGAATAGCTAAATTGTGTTTTTGGTCAATAACACAGTTTTGGAGGACATGGATCCAAAATCAGGTTGAGAGTTTTAAAAATTGATTGTGATACTTACTAAAGTGTTCTTTTTCTGGTTCAATAATTTTCCTAAAAAATTCACCTTCACAGAAGGATGTGCTGGAATTAGAAATTAGGGTATTTCTGATCTTACATGTTTTTCAAAAGGTTAACTAGACTATGTGTGTCCTAAATAATTTTTTCTTCTTTGCTTTTGTTCCGTTTCCATCTCTCGCTCAGAGATCAAGGGCATCTTTGTGCACCCATTTCTGGCCGAGAGGATCATCTCGATGTTGAACTACTTTTTGCAGCACCTGGTTGGTCCAAAGATGGGTGCACTTAAAGTCAAGGACTTCAGCGAGTTTGACTTTAAGCCACAGCAGCTCGTTTCTGACATCTGCACAATCTACCTAAACCTGGGGTACGTTACAAAGATTCGTCTGTTATAAATTGATCTGATAAAGTAAAGAGTCTCTTACAGATTATATTTTATAACAAGCTTTAAAATTTGTGTTTTCTCCATGTGGGAGAGATGGATTTCGAACTTTTGAGTAAAATTTGAACATGATGTGTTTGTCTTTTGCAGTGATGAGGAAAATTTCTGTGCCACAGTCCCGAAGGATGGACGATCGTATTCGCCGACACTTTTCTCCCAGACGCTCCGTGTGCTAAAGAAGATCAACAAGCCTGGTGACATGATTGTGGCGTTTGGACTCCTTGCAGATAAAATCAAGGTATCTTTTTCTCCTGTACCATGACAGAAATAATTTTGTTTCAGTGGTCAATAAAAAAAAAAAAGCTGCAATTATTCATTTATTTATTTCATGGGTCACTTGTTTTTAGTCCCATGCAGACAGGCAGCAGCAAGAAGAGGAAACGTATGCAGATGCTCCAGATGAATTCTTGGACCCCATCATGTCCACCCTGATGTTGGATCCTGTTCTTCTTCCCTCTTCTAATGTTACTGTAGATCGTTCCACTATAGCAAGACATCTCCTCAGGTTCGTAACGTCTGGGGGAAAAAAAACCCACCATGTCACTCATTTGTTTAAATGCTATTTTTACAGTCTTTTCGTTTGTAGATTAGTGATGGGACGGCAGTTCATTTGAGTGTATTAAATCTGCAGAATCAGTTCACTCGAATGATCTGTTCACCGGATCACACAGTTCATTTCTGCAGAGTGAAACGGTTCCTCTTCCAGCATTATCTCCGTACCGCCCTGATCCGTTCATGCTGTGACACAGCACCAATCCAGCACATTGTGTCACTCGCTTGGTTTCTACAAGCTAACTGCTAATGTTGTGTCTTGACTCAGGGATTACACAGTATGAAAATATCCTGATTCATGCTGTATATTAACCTACAGTGCTGATTGTGACAAAATGACAAACAAAAATTTTACATTTCTGGTAGAATTGAGTTTAAATGTTTTAACTTTTGCTACAATTTTGACCGACATTGTTACCATGATTCAAATCAGCATCGGCACACTGCATCACCAGAAGAGCCTGATTTATACAAATGAGCCGTTTAGTGGTTGTTGTTTTAGCCCCAAAAGGGTCACTATTGCTGCATGTTTTGTTTCCTAAGGAAGCCAGAATGCTAATATATAAGCTGCTATTTATTTGGCTGAGACTGAGGGGAAAATTTAATTGCTGCTGCAGCTACTTATTGTGGCTATACAATGAGTTATTGATTTATTTAGTAACTTGATCCACAGACTGGTAGATATTTATTTCAGACAGTTATCAAATGCAAGTTAAAAACAAAAAGAAGCTTTATGCTCATAAACAGCATGTCTGATTGACTCAAAAGTTCTCTTGCCCGCTGACTGCTCAAGCACTGTGGCTTCATCATGACATGAACCGTGTTTTGCCACAGACAATTCATTCCCTTAAAGTAATTACTGAAGGAAGTTGTTTCCCTTGAAGCCAGGATTCCCATCCTGGGGCAAAAAAATTAATAAATATATAGAAATATATAGAATATAGACTTTTCTCTTTGGTTGAGGAGAAATCCACTGTCATCAACCCAAAAGTTGAAGTGAGAGTTAAAGAGAAAAACAGTTTTTCTATTGAACAAAGTCACAAATCTTAATGTTGAAAGGATTTGTAATTTATGTTTCATGTTCACATTTATTTTTTATATTAAGATAAAGTATAATATTTGCCCTTCACTGTACTATAAACCATTTTTCTGACATTTAATCAACTCTTAAAAACTGTGAATGCAGAAATTGAAAATTGAATTGCTAAAAGTGTGACTTCTTGTTATTTATAATGTCCTCTGTGCAGCGACCAAACCGACCCTTTCAACCGCAGTCCTCTCACCATGGACCAGATCAAGCCAAACACGGAGCTCAAAGAGCAGATCTCACAGTGGTTGGAGCAGCACAGGCAGGACAAGCAGCAGCAGGGACCCAGTGGCTAGCCCCACAGTGGAAAAACAGTGACTTCCCCCTTTGTTGTTTTGCTCCTTTGCTTCAGTGGCAAATCCACAGTATGCTTTCCTCTGTGGATTTCTTCTTACTTCTCTGCTGTAGCCGCTTATTGCATAAGCCCACTCATGCTTAATGGACCCTCTCTGTGACAACAGCCCATGCAAACTTCACTTTAAAATCAATAAACTGTAGCCGTTCTCCTCACCTGGCGCCCTATCGGGTTAACATTTGCAGGATGAGGCTGCCTCTGCTTGCGCCGTTATCGCAGAGGGATTTAGAGCCAGAAGCAGCAGTTCAGTGTGAATCTCCTAACTGACCTTTTTACAATGCAAGGTAAGTATTTTAGACAAGTCATGGGTTAATGACATAGAAACACGAGGTGTTTAACATTTCAAACTGAGTTTATTCTTGTGAAGAATACCATACACTGCCTTTCAAGTTCACCAAGACTCCATACATTTGCACCTGCTGGTTAAACATCAATTGGCAGGCTCTTTGTAAATAAAATTGGCAACGTAATAAAACTAAACATCCATAGATTTTAATTGATTAACAATAAAGTTCTACATTTAGGCATTAAAAACCTTAAACATTGAATTTGTGTTTTAACACAGATTGTAAAGACATTTTTTTAAGTGGGGTTTTATGAAGTGTATTGATCCATGTGACTTCAATTTCCTGAATGTGGCATGAGGGACTATCATTGTCCCTGATGAGGGACAATGAGAGACTAGGGACTCTCATTGTGCCTGATGAGGGACAATGAGGGACTCTCATTGTCCCTCATGCCACATTCTCTTAAGAGTTGCTTTAGTCAAACTAAGAGCAACTCAGAATGTGGCCTAAGCAAGAGTAAATTTTGCTACAGAACAAATTGAAAACATAATTTTGAGTTAATTTACCAGGATTTTTTTCAGATTCTTCATGCTGGGTTTGTGTTTTGTTCATCAACTGCAAGTTATACACTTTCTTCTCATGAGTACTCCACACAACCACTCAAAAAAAAAAATTAAGTTTTCCTTTAAATATTTTCCTGCGTAAAAAGAAATCTTCCTTGTTGGGTGGAAGGCCTTTTTGTAGAATAGTAGAGAGTTGGTCTACTGCCAAATGCTCTCAAAATTTAAATTTTGAGAGCATTTGGCAGCTTTTCAAGACAATCTGGCTGACAAGCTTCATGTGTGAAATTATGGATCACCTCTGTCAGACACCTAGCAGTGGTAACGGGCAACTCCTTAGATAGTCTTGGCCCAGACAGGTAAATGCAATCCAGATTTTATTTTGTGTCATCACTGTAACAGAATCCACTTGCCTGTGTTGTCGTCTTAAATTTGATCCACTGATTCAAGTTATTTCCATTTACAACCACACTCATTTGAACTAAAAAGCAAAAAAGCAGCTATTGTCACCCCTTTTCATCCTATAAAGCAAAACTTACCAGATCATAACCGGTGAACCCTTTGAGCACTTTTCCTTTCGGTTTAAATGTAGTGCATTAACATTTGAGCAAACAGTCGATCAGTAGAATTGGTGCCTAAAACCCGGATGTTTGCTGTAAATCTCAGTAAATGAGTTTCATACCTTTAACATGCACATGCTAATTTGTTTCTGTGAGTATAAGCGGCTTTGCAGAAGATTGTTGTAAAAGAAAAGGAGATTACATCTCCAGTGTATTTGAGTTAAAGAGCTTTAACTCAAGTAGGAGGTGATCAAATGTGAGGAGTGGCTTTGTTGGCATGCTCTGATTCTGTTTTAAATATTTACCATCCTAATGGTCTCATGGTTTAAATTACAATGCAATACTTTTGTTTTAAATGTGATTTAAAAAAATATTTTGGATGTACAGTATGACTGAGAAATAAACTTAAGTAAATTATAAGAGATGTTTAGTGATTCTGTGAATATACAAACTTATTGATATGTATAAATTGAGGTTCTATTTTTCAAATATTTTAGCATGTAAGAAAACTGAGGAAAAAAAAAACATTCTACAAATAAGATTTGGGATTAATTTGCTGCTAGCACTTTGACACACTGATTACTTCCCAACTAGACTTTTTAAATATTTTAATATTTGTTATTTATAGAGTTTTTGGAGTGTAAACTTTAATATAAATCTGAAAATCTGTTTTGGTTACTCACTCATAAATGAAAACATTATTTTATATCATAGTTGCCTGTGTTTTAGCTAAAGCTAGGAGTTTTATTCTGGTCAAAAAGGAAAACGGTTACTCTGTCTTAAACGTAATTTTGACCATGGTAATCATCAGTAAAGGTGCAGAGTAGGTTTTGGCTGCATGTGGTGAAAAATAAATAACCTCATGGAAACAAAAAAAGGTGGAGGCTGCAGACAATCTAACAAGGCCTGTCTAGACCCGTCTGGCCCTTTTAACATGTTCAATACTGACTACCTGGTGTAATTGACAGAAGCTATGAAAACACAACAGATATCCTGTATTTCTAGATATCTCAAAAGATTAACAGCGAAACCAGAAACTGGCAAGAAACCATTCTTCTAATGAAAGTGATGTAGAATGATACATCTAAGAAATAAATATCTGAAAAGTTCAAAACATTTACTTCAGCCAATTTGTAGCTTTCAGCTAATGAAAACCCAAAGTGTAGTTTTCTAGAAGATGGTCCCATATAGTCGATGAAGGCTTTATTTTTAATCTGGAATTGTATGGTGCAATAAAAAGGGCATTCACTGCATTGTAAGTTCACTCAATACTTGATCATTGCTCCTTTTGCATGAATATCTCCTTCGATGTGGAGTGACCTGGTGGGGTTCAGGAAGCCCCGGTTGCTTTGATATCGGCCGTCGGCTCGTCTCATAAGCTTCATCTTGACAGTGCGCCTGAGTTTCTCTGTGAAGTTCAGGTCAGTTGAGTTTACTGGCTCAATAAAGTCACCGGTACTGGACTGATAGATGTGGACTTGTCCACATCCTGCTAGAAAATGTAACCAACATCTCTGCATGTGCTTGCCAGCAGATGGGTATGAAGTGCTCAGAAACGTTGGGGCTGATTGCACGCAGACTTCTGGTTTTATAAAATGCAATTGACAAACACCAGCTGATGACGTTGCTCCCTGTATCACCACCAACACTCGAAACATCATATGTTTTGTTTTATGTCACGCTTTTCCAAAAACTCTCACGCTTCACAGGTATTAAGCAAACCACAGAGCACAACACATGAAGCAAAAAATCTAAAACATAAAACAGGACATCAGTCATAAAGGTTTTTCTGAAAAGGTGTGTTTTGAAAGAGTTGAATGTGGGTCTGTGTGGTTGTGGAAGTGTTTGGTGCTGGTACAGGCTCATAGCCCGCCTGTAGTTGTAGTTGCAATGGCTGAACGAAGCCAGTCAGCTACATGTTGGCCGCACCTCTAAATATTGAATTGACATCAACAGACATCTTGTTCAACTTTGCACAAAAAGCTGAATTTCAAAAGATCTATAAAAGATCTAAATAGCTATGAATGTTTTTTTTATTGCTTTGGTTTTTTATAAGCTGCTTTCTAAATAATCAATAGTTAAATGAGTTTTATTATGTCATTAAAAGCACTAATTTATTTTGTTACAAACAGCATTTCCATAAAAACTGATGGTGAGAGTTGTAGCATTGAATGACTTCCCATTTTAAATGTGTTATTAGATCATTTAATTTTATATTATGTTAAAATATTTTGATGTTATTGGAGACTTCCGTGAAAGTAGTTATTAATGTAAACAATGCAAAAATAAATAAAGAAAACTATTTCTGGTAATCAAAGGATTTCTGGGAAGTCCTTTGAACTTACCAGTCAGGATTCCAGCTTCAGAAAACTGTTTTTTTTTGGGGGGGAATTCCCGATTGGCACTTTGGCAAATCCAACATCCAAGCACAAAAGGAGCACACCGTTTGAAGCTCTGCCAAGTTTAATAGTTTTGACACAACCTGCCTTTTACCCTCACAATGACTGTTTCGCATTGAGGGTTAGGGTTTCTGTGCCACTGGGATTTTTTGGAAACACACTTTACGCCGTATTTAACAGCCTGTCCCAGATCAGTGGTTTAAATTTGGAGTTATTTCCCGGGCAAAACCCCTGAACCTGATTAGGACTCGGCCACGCAGATCCCGAACAGGACCAGTGAGGAAATGCATTGTCCGGGTTCTTTCGGCGTCGCCCCGCAACATGCATGACGACAAGCTCGTCAGTGTGAACGGAGCGCTGTGGTAGAGGTTGTTTATGTGGAGCGCTTGGTTAGGGTTCCGCCCACCGAGGTATCTGATCATAGGGGCAGACAGGCAGAGAGGTAAAATGGCGCACAGCTGTCGGTGGCGGTTCCCTGCTCGGCCCGGAGGGAGCAGCAACTCCGGTACCGGGAGGAGAGCGGGCCGTGTCAGGGTTACTGCCTTTTTGCGGAGCGTGTCGGGAGCCCAGCCAAACGCCGCCGGACTCGGACCCGGGTTTGATGCTGCACTACAGGTCTCTTCGGTCATCAGGAGCAACCTGCAGAAATTTCGGGATGTTTTGGGGGAATCGAGCGACTCCAGCAGCGCAGAGGTAAGCCCGGGACTCAGCCGGGAGCACTGGGTTCGACAGCTCCGAGGCAGCCGGGCCGGTCGGCTCGGTCCCTCCGAGGAGAGGAGCTAACGGTCACAGCCCCCAAAAAACTTGTCATTGGAAGGATGCTCGGTTAACTTTGACTGAGCTGCGTGGCCTTTAACTAGACTGTAACGTGCTGATATGCAAATTTAGCCAGAAAAAGCACAAGGAGTAAGTTTTTTAGTGTGTAGCTGGACCATTTAAGGTGAAGGAAAGTTTGTTCTCGGAGGAGGAGAGATGCTACATCCACACAGTGTAGACGGAGCTAACATCACTCTGTTAGCCAAAACCACAGCAGAGAAACCCCCGGTGTTACACTGTTACATCCGAGAGTCCCGTTAACATACGGAACAAATGCAAGCCAGTGGACACCTCACGCCTATTTCATTACTTATGGTTTACTAGTCGGGTAACTTAAATTGATATAGAGCCGCAGTAGCTCCATATGTTCTCCTGAAAATTCATTCTCACTCACAATGTAAAAGTTGACGTCCCGTGTAAGCACTGGTGTTCCTGGCCTACTGTTAACTAGCATTTAAACACCCACATTTAGCGTATCTGTCTTTGTAGCGAGCATGTAATGCGTAGGGAAAAAAATGAGGCAACTTAAAGGAAGCGAGAGAGTACAGTTGTGGTTTGTGACGAGCTAACGTGAAGTTAGCTGTGTGCAGCGTATTTCTGCACTGGTTGTTGTTCGCCTCTCGCTTAACCCGTGTTTAGCTTTCTAGGAGTGAATCATTGGCAGCTAAATAGCCCCGCACTATCAAAATAAGCTAGAAGGGCTAACTCATTGTATCGAGGTGGTAACCTTTTAGCGACGTTCGCCTGGTTAGCTAGCATGCTAGCTGTTTGTATACCTTAGCCCAAAGTACACCATTATTCTCCTGCCTGAAACGCTGGTAAAGTTGAGTTTTGCACTCCGGAGGTTGCTGTGTTTACCTCCCAGCGGTTCATCGCTACGCAGTCGAGTGAAAGCATAGGGGCTAAAGTTAGCAGGACTCGCACACAAAACGTAAATGGTTTCTGTTTGGTGAGAAGCTAAGACAGCTACCATGCTACGCTGTACGCCACGCTAGCCATCGGGGCTATTGCTGATGCATAGGAAAATGGGAGGTGGACATGTTCTCCCCCCCACCCCCCTCTCCTTACAGTCAAGTACGTAGCTAACACAAACATAATATCTGGCTTATTACACGAGGCCAGGACGCCCAATTTGACGCTGCACAATGACTACAGCGCTGTTCGGCGTGCGACGGGAGCTTTGGGCAGGTTTAGCGGGCAGGTTTATCAGCGGAAAGAGGCTTGCTGGTGACAGTGCGCATGCAGGGCTGGCTACAATAACAACGAGCCCCTTCCAGACGGACCGTGTGATGTGGGGGTGTGTTCGCGTTAGCGAACTACCATCTTCCTCCTTCATGATGTGCAGCATGCGTTCATTGCAGTGGGAGTAGACTGAGTGGGGATGTTTACCAGCAGGTTGGGAGCTCTTGTTCAGAGCTCTTAGACCCAAAACACGTCAGTATTTATACATGCTGAGTTTGTGGTGGTTTGGAGACGGAAATTGTGAATTTAGTTTCACGTGTTTGATACATGCTGTCAAAATGTATCAGCTACTACATTACATTTATTTATTTTATTTTTTTAAAATAAATATATTATTTTATGTAAACCTAAGTCAAATAAATAATCTAATGCTGAACCCTGTGTGTACATCTTAAATGCTTATTAGGCAAAATGTTATCCAATACTGCAAGTATGATTTTTGCAGTGCAGCCTTTGCCAAGAGCTGGTCAGTAGTTTGATAGGTAGTTTGAGAGGTCATGCGTTGCCTCTCTTCATAGTGTGACACAGGTCCGGTTAGTGAGGTTAAGTAGTTGTGCTGTTTGCTCCAGCAGCCAACCTGCTGCATAACAGATGCACACTGCGTGTGGCTTGCCCACTGTATTAACTAAACTGTGGTTCCTAAATCCTTGTTTTTCCTTGCTGTAACTATTTTGTTTTTCCTTTTGTAGTAGGTGAGGGAAAAGTAGAGAAACCGTCATTTAGCCAGGTGATTAGCAGTGCAGAGTGGGGCATATCTGGACTACTCTCTGCCCGAGAAGACCTCTCATCATTCTGGGACTTTTTGCGCCACACCATTAAATAGCAATTTAAACTTCAGAAACTTTAGTAAACTGAAACCATAACTTTTTAAAATGCCTCTTTATTTTTTTAATACCAGTAACCAGTGAAGTGAGAGAGTTTTCAGTGAAGTGAGAGAGTTTACAGGTATTATCAGTAATAATTAA